CTTGGTCAAATTAAAAAAATTCCAATTTCAGTGCTGTGGGTCATGTGATTTATGAGTCGTCAAACTTTCAACATTTAAATTTTTCAATGTTACTTTCAACACCTACTTCGGAATATCAAACAAAGAAGATTGTAATCTTGAGTTAACCCTTAAAGAGCTGGGGGGGGGAACTCTTTCCTGATGTCACCGCAGTGCATTTTTTTTGCAGGAGTTGTGCCTTTAGCAGTTTTTAGATCAACTCTTTGTGATTGTGGTCATTTTGTGCAAAATTGGACATGCTGTTCTTATGTGATGTACTCCTGTATTCATTGTAATGATCCAGGAGGGTCCAACAGGGACGTTCACTTCTCCATCATTAAAGCAGCAATAGATATTTTTAAACAATGACAGAAAGGTGATATTAGCACTCTGCTTCCATTTCGCTTCCTATTAAAAGTTGTGTAAAAAGCTCCCGTAATGTGGTTTCACCCCTCAGAAAGGACCCAAAAGGTTACGTAAAATATTTCCAAAGTTTTGGGTCCCCTGAAAAACCATTTCCCTCCCCTCCCCCCCAAATAAAATTGATACGTGACATGCCTTGACTTTTTTCTCCACAAGACTCACACCATGCGTACAGTGTGCCACCTGTGACTGTGTTTTCACTCCCATTTACCTTTGTCTTGTCCCTTTCCTAAACTCAACCCTGTAAATCCACATTAATGCCCACGTCAATTTGTTACCCACCCCTCTCCCGTCATACCCACCCTTACCCCCCACCCCACATGCGTGCATCTCTCTCTCTCTTTCTGTCCAGAAACCTTTGATTAGTCACGCGTGGAATCACCCTGCTGCTGCTGGGGAGAACACCCTGTACCGATATTTATCATCAGTTAGCTTCTGGTGTGCTTGGTTATAATTACCACATCACGATGCACGAGGAACGCTCCGCCAGTTGATACTGTTATAACCAGTCTCCCCCCCCAAAAAAAAAATTAGTACCACCCTCATAGCTACATGTAAGTATCCATTCACCGATACCAAAATTATTATCGCATTCAATCAGTATCATCTGGTAGTACCTCTCGGGGAGAAATCAAGGGAAGAGTGAGGGGATAGGAAATGGTAGCAAATGCGGCGCGAGAATGATCCACGGCATAGATAAGGGTGAGTCACCGGGTCAGTCCGGGATAATAACCCGGCCGCAATTTGTCTTGTTTGGTGTGCGGCTGGTGATCGCTCACTTGTAATTGGGAATCATTAGCGCGCGTTATTCAATTGTGAGATTCATCGAGCAACTCCTTGTCCAACAGTGGCTGTGCACTCTCGAATCCATGCGTAGTTCATAATTGAACACAAGGCTCAGTGTGCGTGGCCAGAAATTTCGTGAGAAAGACTGACCGTGCGAAGGGATGGTTAAAGACCTGGGAGATGTGATCACTCTCCCCCACAATGTGACCCAAGTTAACCTAAATAGATATCCTTCTTTTGTTTGCAAACATTGACTGCAATTTTGAATGGGTGACCAAAGACTGCAGAAACTTCACCCGTGGTTGGTGATGTTTTTGACCTCCAGCTGCGCATGTGCTTGATTAGTGTCCAGGACACTTTAGCACTGTTAGGTAACATTTAGTAGTAGAAGTTATGATTTGGTGTTTTATTTGTTAGGCAAGGTTTTTGTGACACTTCATGAATTGTTCTTAAGTTGTGTGCTCCTTGCCAACCATAGTAAGCCAATCACTAGTTGGCAAAAATGACTGTCTGTGACATACGTGTAGCAAAAGATATTAGGGTAACAGTCCAGTTAATGTACCAAGGCTTTTGTTGACAGAGTACTTTAAATGAGTCCAGATTGCTTGTGGACATGAAGGTCCACACAGGTGTGTGCAGAATGCGCCAATATGTACGTTCAGTGAAGTTCTTTTGTACGTCCTTTCAGTATGTTAGTCACTACTTGTGCCCACTATCCACATTATTCTGACCAATGGACTATCCAGCTTTTGGTGTTGAGGGGGGGCTAATTTGAAAGCAAATGCCCTTAGTGCTCATTCAACATAATCATGGGAAAAAGATTATTCGGTCTATTTGTCTGATAAATAAATGCACCAATTAGTTTCTCTCCTACTCACCTGTGAAGTATTCTCAGTTGAAAAAAAATGTGAAAATTTGTAAAATCTGTACGGGGGACAAGTGGAGGAACAATTCCATACAAACCACTGGAAACAGTTTTAATTCAGAACTTTTCATTGAAACCACTCTGGAACATTTCAGCTACAACATTCATTATCAGCATCAGCAGAAGATCTTTATATACATGATGCTTGATAACGGAAACCACAGACTTTTTTTAATAGCTTTGCATGATTTTGAAATATTCCAAATGTCACTTTGATCACGTAATACTACTGCGATGGTAACAACATCACGAGAGCAGTTGATACAGACATCCCAAAACACTCATTATCTGATCTTTACCATCATCCAACTCTCATCAAAACCACTCAGGCCAATTACAGCTTTGCTCGCAAGTTTTTCCTTCTATTTTTTCCACCTTCTTCAAGTGAAGTAGTTGATGTTTGATTCATTGAGCAAACCCAGCCACCCGTATTTCCTTCTTGAAAGAATGAATGACGAGAGAGAGTGGGGGAAAAAAAGCCGATCGCCGATTATTCCCCCCCCCCCCACTTCATACAGGCCCTCCACATCTGTCGCCCCCCATTAGCACGGCACACACACACCGCACGGCTTATTTAAAAGACAGACCCATGCCAGGGTGTGCGTTGCCAGGATTAGACCATTAGGCCAATTGATTCTTCCCCCCTCTGACAACACTGCAGCGCAGCCGGAGCATAATAAGAGTGCTGGCGTACTCCTGTACACCCCGGGGCCGTATTGCACTATTACACGGTGCCTTCCTTTTTTTTTCAGGGGCCGCCTGTGTTGCATGCTCGCCGGTCCGTCTGCATCATCGTTCGACTCCCTCTCTCGAATAAAAAATGTGTGGCAAAACCTGGAGTTGTTCACGGGGTATTGAGTTGACGAGTGCAAAGTGGGAGATTGCTGCTGTCACTTGATGATCAAGTTAATGTTCTTTTTCTCCTTTCATGTTCCCCCCATTGAATCTCAGGGATGCCTCATAGCAGTTTGAAGCATGGTCATTTGATATTGTTTATCTCATCTATATCAATTCTTTCCTTTTTCCTCCACACAATAGTTGGCAGTAAAATAAAAGACGGATTCCGTCAGACACCATCTTGCCTCTTTCCCCTCAGTGAGTGTGTGGTCATCTACATGTGTGCTAAAATGAAACCATGTTCTAATACGCCCCCCACAGATATTCATGCAATTGCACATGTGGGCTTTACCATTTGAGTTCAACGTATCTAGCTTTGACAATGTAACATGTTCACGTGATGGGTGTTCTGATTATGCTCAGGTGACAGTAAAGTCATTGGGCCCATTACTGAAAGAAAGACAAGAGGGGAATTTTTTTTAAAATTAAAATACATGTATATGAAAATGCACCATGGACAATTACAGTCCCAGGGGGGAGCCTTGGCAGTTTTCCAAACTTTGAATTTAGCAAATGGACCCCTTTTTTGTCAGGGATGATGTTGGGCCTCCTGCGAGGCTGCTCATTGTGTCTGGCGCTCATATTTTCTACCTGATTAGGTCCTTTTTGGGGGGCGCCGGCGCACGTTTAATTGCAGTGGCTGCCAGCCCCAGCGAATCTGAGCAGTGCTTAAGACCCAGCAACTACGGTAATCCGCAGAATTAAAAAGTGTTTTGCTTTTGGTTTCCTCTTTTTTTTTCCTTCTCCTTTGGTTGCGACGGTCATGAATTAATGATGGTTAAATTGGATGGGTTTAATAATGGATATTCTTTTTAATATCTACATGTATTTAAAAGCGTCCATCAGTTACCCTCTTTGTCCATCCTTGCACACAGCAGAAAATACTTGGACTTATTAATGTTTAATTTCTCAAGCTCATTTTTGTATTTTTGCCAGTCAATGTGTTATTTGGGGGTTTAATTTTTAAATTAGAAAGTGGCCGCTCCTTCCTGAGCCACTTTGTTATTAAACCTTGCCAGTTTGTCGGCGTCGCTTGGCTATGGATTTTAATGCCAATTTGGTTTGAGACGGATTGTGATGCCAAATACATCCAGACAATGAAGTGAGTGTGTAGGCACTTTTTTTTCAATTCTGTGTGCCCAATTAATTGGTCAGGCAACACTTTACAAGCATACTTTACAGCCTTGTTCATTCACTGATTGTACTCTTTTCAAGTTCCACAAAGACAATCATGTAACTGAGGAACTTTTAAAATAGGTGAGATTTCAAAAGTAGACATACCAAAGTAACCTCCCATTGAGGTTAAAGACTAAAAGTTGTTAGAAGGGGCCCTCAAACATCTTATATGCTTTTCAATGACTGCATCTTGAGCGTCCTTGACAAAGATGGTAAATACGTGGCTGCTAAACATGTTCAAACCAATAATTGGTAAGAAAAAATGATTTTTTTGAAATATCTCATTCTGCAAAAAATTTGGAATTAAAATGAAGGAGGGTTTTTCCAAACCCGAAATTGGCCTCCCCCCTCAATTTTTTGACTTTGAACCGTTATAATAGACAGTAGCAGAGTGGGACTTTACCAGCGGCATGGCGGGAGTGGGTGGAGGCACAAGCCCTCCCCGTGAAAAATTTTCACCCCTAGTTGTCCCCCCCCTTGATGTGATCACCATTATGTACATGTATATGTCCAACATCCAGTTAGCCCCCCACTTTAGCGTGAAGCCCCCTGCCCCCTCTTGTGCTCAGAATCCTGGCTACGCCGCTGGACTTTACGCTCATTGTGGCTCATATTTCACCTGTTAGCCAATTTAATTTCTGATGAGGATTTTTCACTTATGCATCCTTTGATATGTTGTTGGTCTTCTCAGAATCCAGTTTTATGCAAACGTAAACAGCATTGTCATGTTCTTTTGTTCTTGTTTTCCTCTTTTCTTTTCGTGAAATTAAATCAGGAAAGCAGAGATGAAACCGCTGAGTGCCAAGCAGAGAATTCTGGTAGAATACGGCAGTGGTTTAGGGGGTGGATCCAGGACAGTGGTGGGGGCCAAGGGGCCCAAAGCTTCTCAGTCAAAGACAAAGCAGCGACGAAGACTGAAGGGACGAAGGTTATGAGGTTATTTCATCTGAAGCTGCCTTCTTCGATCAAAAGAGTAAATGAGCTTGTATTTTCCTGTGAACCACTTGATGTCAGGATTTTGTCTTGGCCCCTAAAACAACATTTTCTGGTGTCGTAGTTTAGTCCATCACAAGTCCCTGCAAGCCCACGACAAGTCACCCAGTCACAAACGAAGTCACAAGCTTTTCAAATTAACTATGACAAAGCATTCCTTTGTCATTGTTCACCCGCAACTTGTGACTGGCCTTGTGACAGGACTTGAAGAGACACTATGATAAACAGCAACACTGCCATTCGTTAAGATACATCAGGACTGGCCTGTCAGGGTTATTTGAGGCTAATCTACACTTTCGTTGGAATTAATTCAGCCGAATTGAAAAAGTCAGTCAAACACCTTAACGATCTGCTGTTGAGGGCCATTTCCTCTCTTTATGTATAAGCTCTTCCTCAAAACCCTGTCTTTCGCTACACTGTGGGGCCCAACCACATATTAACACCTGCCACAATGGCAGGCTATTAAAGACCAACTTCGGCCCATCATCTCCTCCACATACTTGTGTACCTAGGCCATTATCATATCAAGAAGATGGCTTCTTTCATCATGAAAGTCAAGACCAAGTTGTGAGGACTGATGTATGTCCTCATAACATCTTTGGTCCCCACAATATCTGTGTTGCAATTTGTGTTGTCCCCACAGCTAAGGAACACCTAGTTTGGACTTGTGAACAAAAGCTGTCCACATGATGCAGGAAGGGAAGACATTCTGTGGACTTACCCATGTCCACAGGGACGTTTCCCCTTCTCTGAAAAAGAATTTTAGGCACATTTTGGGCCAAGAGTCATGTGTCATAAAAGGAAAAGGAACAGTCAAGGAAACATTTCACAAAAAACAGCTGAAAATCATGTTCCCAGTTCAAGAAAAATTGGTATTTTCTGTTTAACGCATTGTGAGTATACCTCTTCATGTTTATTACCATGATTAGAAGCCTTCCATGAAACTGTCCTCATGCATCAAGTGAATGAGACAACTGTCAACGTTTTGGAATTAGATGTTGAACGTGGAATAAAAAGTGCCATTCTTTGTCATGGACACTCAGTGGACAGGTTTTTTGGGGGGCTTTTTGCTGTTTTCTGTTGTTGTACTAGGTTTTGCCCCTTTATCAATGTGTTGTTCACACTGTATTCTCAGGTCTGAGAGTTGCAAGAAAAGTCGCACGCTTTCTTGAGTGGGCGTGGAACCCACAGCCTTCCTGCTTGCTCACGCAGACATCTTAATTCCTCGACTACCAACACATCAGGAGGTACTGTGATATTAATTTGGCTTTGCATCAGGGAGGACCAATTTAGGTTTGAATTTTACCCCAGCCAGCTTGGTTTTTTTTTTCTCCAAAATTCTCAGACCACAATGAAAATACCGTTTAAATATTTGAGTCAGTGTAAAAGCAAAACTTTGTATAAAAATGATCCTACCCGATCGACACACAGCCAAACCTGTATCATTATAAAAGTTGAGAAGACCATGTAACTAGCCAAACTCGTGTGACTCGTAGCAACCTGTTAACCTTGTCGTTTGTTGAGCGTACCATCCCATCGTCTATTTGTGACCCAACCTCACAAGTCGCACAAGCCACTTTCGAGTTGAAGACAGCGTAAAGGAATCTTGCGCAGTGTAAATGTATATGAATCGTCCACGTGTTGACCGCCATGTTGTTCCTGTTCATCAGGATATCAGACCGATTTGCACATCAAAACAGAGAGCTCAGTTTGCGCTTTCCTAATGCAAGTTGAGACAAAAGTATACACACTAAATAATTGGCCTTAAGACTCATTTTGTGGGATCTAGCCTCATTTTCCTTCGGCACCAACACTGTGAAAACATTTGATAATGTTTTATCACATTTGAACGCCCTCCTGGTAACACTTCATTGTTAATCATCCAAAGCTAAACACGTTCTGGTGTGTATTTCTTAAACAAATACCTGTTGATGTTTTAATTTTAGACACAATGATGCATTTGGGTGTTCATAACAAGACACAAAAGTGCATTTATCAGGTGTTAACCCTTTCTGAACAGGGAAACATATTTATTTCCTAAAGAGGCATTTAGTTTTAATTGGTTACATGTTTAAATTAGCACAGATACGCATTGAAAGAGCCTATTCTTTTGACGTCACAGTGTTGTTTTTCCTACAAGTGGCTGCTAAAACTGTGGTTGGTTGTCAGTACAAAAGTAAAAGTGTTAAAATTTCCAAGCAGCTATCAGAACACCAGATGCTGATACACATGCTACTAAATACTAAATGAAAATTCAACCCTGTTTGATGTCAGTGGGACAAATATCCATTTTGAATGAATTGGAGGTGAAATTAAAAGCCAACCAGAAAAATGATATTTCTGCATACTTTGGCTGCCCATGCAAGTTGTAGGCAAATTAGAGTGGTTTATATCGGGCGTTAGTTTTTACAGTGAACATTGGAGAAGGCAACAGTCATTAGAATGGACATATTTGTTTTACATGTTGCTAATTTCCCTCAGTATGTTTCCTAATCGAAAGAAATGTTGGAATCCCCCCCGCCAAAAAAGTGTATTCTCGGTCTTTTTGGAGGGTGTCAAATCAGCTGGCGAATATGGACACCCCTTTCTGCGATGTGTCTCTCTTTTCTGCCCGGCATTTTACGCACCCCACTCACACATTTCAACACCAGAGAACATAACTTGCAACTTTCGACCATGCCATCTCATTGCGGCCATTTGAACCGGTGCCCAACACGCCAGCATGCACATTGGTTGTCAACGGCCCCAGTTACTATATGCACATGAAGCCGAGTGCTCTTAAGCTAATGTTTCTCCGTCTAGCTTGCCTTGTTTTTCCCGCCCAAATCATCTGTGCAAGGTATGTAATTTTCCTAAACCCCTCTTTAGCTATACATTCCTGTTTGGTTTGTTTACCTCAGCAACAAGGCACCTGAGGAAAGAAAAAAACGAAAACACATTACCCCGAGATGGACTTTAATTTCTGTATTTACTGAAACCATTTAGATGAAAATTGCTTTTCTCCACCTAATATTTCAGCCTCTGAATACATTATGCTGTTTGGAGAAATTTTACAAATCGGTCTACTAATGTCAAATTGTCCCTTGCATTTGTCTCTTTGCAGCGTCGAGGCGAGATGGTTGTATTGAGAGTAGTAGTGCATAATTAAAGGAGACCTTTTTATAACGAACAGCCTTGTCCTGAAAAAGTAGTGTCAAGCTACTGTGAACAACGAGTTATTTTTATGAACAAAGTGTCGCAACATCTTTTTTTTACAGACAAGTTTTCGGAGACTGTGTTGCGAATATTTGAGAATGAAATGGTTGTCATCTGCTGTAGAATTCGTCCAAATTTTTTGACCCCGAATTTATCGGCACTTGTAATTTTTAAGAATTTCTTAATTTTTTTTTTAAATTGTGCAATTTTAAGAATTAAGTACTTTCTTTTGTCGTTTGCATACATGTTGAAGATTGGCAACTTTTTTTTTAAATCCCACGTATCTTTCGAATAGTTATGGTAGGCCTACCAATACTGACTAATTGATACCAAGTGTGAGATTTCCGGCAAACGAGCAACGGAATGCACATAGACAGTTGATTTTCTTTCTAGTGCTTGCAGCTGGGAAGATGTATTTGAGTATACGTTCTTCAATCACTGTTGTTAAGAATCCAGTGCTTTTTCAGACCGGGAAAAAATTATCTTCCGTGGGAAAAATCTCTTTCTTTTCGGTGAAGAACCATGCATTCTCCAAACATAAGCGGCATTCTCTCGTTTCTTTTCAACTCATCAAAGTTGTCAATGAATGGATATTTTTCGCTTCTTTCGCGCAACTTCCGTCAGCATGCTTCCTGTGGAGCACGACGATGCGATAGATTTTGGGTGTTTTTTTTACGTTGTTCGAAGCGCATCAGTACGGGTTTTGTTGTCGACCTACAAAGAGATTTTGACCATCTTGAAGTAATTTTAAAATAAGTTTAAATATTTATCACCATATTCACAGGGATTCATTCCATTCGTCTCTTTTAATTTCATCCAAACAGTTCGTTCACAAAAGAACTTCGGGGCTCCCAAGACAAAACGTGGTTCTCTCTCGCACCCTCAAACGAGAACATTCCCGCTGGTCGATAAAGGCCGCATCAACAGCCGATAATTCTCAATCAAATCGAATCCCTCGTTCTCGCTCGGAGCTTCGCGGACTCAACCACCACCACCCGGAGACCATTAGCACTTTATTTTCCATTTGCGACTTTGTTTTAGTAAGTGCTGACTTCGGAGTCCCGCCAGCGCTCGTCGACGGTTGTTCCAGGCCAGAAATTTTGAGTGTTGAAACACCGGTCACACCTCCTGGTATTACGACCAAGAATAGGCGATTTTCAGATTTTCTCACCGGTGATGACCATTTAATATCTATTCCATTTAGAAATAGTTTCTGTCTTTTTTCATCCCTCAGTGAGCAACCATGTCATGAGCTCGATGTCGGAATGTTGACATGCAGCAGCCGTCGGTCCGGTCGGATCTGGCTGGAACGAGGCGGTCTTTTCCTGATCCGACTACGGGACACTTTCCGCGCGCGCGTGCGCCTGCAGTCTCGAGAAGTGCAATGCGCACGCTGCCTCCGGCCACGTGAGGCAGCGCACGGCTCCAATGGGGCAGCAGAAATGGATTTCTAATAGATCTAAAGCTTTCCTCGCCCGCCGTGCCTCAACACCTCGGGCGGAACTTTTCCTTTTTTTCCCCATCCTCCTTTCCCCTCTCTCAAAATCTGCTTGTTTTGTCTGAAATAGGGAAAAAACCCTGCCTGACAAATCTTCGCCCAAATGTTCGTTAATGCCGTTGCCGTTAATGGTTCTCGAGAAGGCTCGACGCCAGTCTCCCGCAGTTTCAATTCGCCTTGACATGCGTGTTTAAACACTAATCCTCACACAATGTGTCGTTTCACTGGCCAAGACAATGTTGCCTTTAGAAAAGCTTAATATACAGTGCAAGGATTTCACTCTTTTCTTGTGTAATTCCCCAAAAGTGCCTCTGGTCGATTGTTGCATCTTCGGTCTCGGAAATTCTGACGCAAACAACGAAACTTTCGTTTTCCCAAGCGGTCTTTTCGAAGACGCCTTACACGAAATCCACTGAGTCACTAAGATCCTGTCGAGGAGGTACGGTAGCTTTATGCTGCAAATTATATACATGTTCACTGTCAACGAGTTTGGCAAACTTCGATAAACTAAACACGGTGACAGTCTCGTGGAACGAAAGACTGAATTTGACCTTGTAAAGCCCTTATCCGGTTAGAAGCCATCACTGCGGTAGCACCGCACTCGCACGCACATTCTTCAGCTTGACGCGCGCGCGTGCATTTGGTAAATCACGACACCCTATTGGTCGAAGAGGCATGTAACGCGCGCGTACCACCTGTCCATTAGCGTGGAGCCACCGCAGTAATGGCTTCTTATTCTATTTACCGACACCATATCCAAACGTTCGGGAGCCAAGCTCATCTCTTTTTAGCAGTCTTGCACGCATTGTAAAGGAAGCACACGGAGCATAACGCTACGATGATCTACGCAGTTACGTTCATTCAGGCACGAGCCGTGCACGCTCGTAGGCCTACATGGCGACCGTAGTCACCTATTTAACGAAACTTATCCAGTGAGGTCACAAATAACTTGGCAGTATCAAGATTCGTCAAAAGGGCGGTTGATGTAAGTTGCTTAATTTTGTTTGGAATTGATGCTTATATAGGTACCATACGCTTTCTGTCACTGGCCAATACAGTTGGTGATATACCTGTTAAAGTGTGAAAAGGGCCATTGAAAATAACTAATAATAGATCAAAGCAAGTATAGATTAAATAATGACGAACAACTGTAAGGTATGAAGTGACTTTCGTATTGGGGCCCCAAGCTGAACCAAGAAAGCGCGATTTCCCTAGCAACGAAAGCTCCTTTGGTAGGATCTTCGCTGGTTCACGAACGACTACGAGATACATGCATCGCGTGCGCGTTGCCACCAGCAAAACGAATACTCCCGACCAGCCTGGCTCTTTTCAACCGATGAGGGAATCGATTGTGCTGAGGCAAAGTAACTACATCACACTCTTTCATTCGTGAAAAAGGAACAGTCTCGGATTTTTTCAACTTAGCAACCTGTTAATCTCGTATAACTTCCAAAAGCGCATCTCTCACCGGCCAAGTTGAGTGGAATTAGGCCGTGTTTGTTTCACACGGATCTAGATCACCATCAGTGATGATCCTTCGTTGGTTTATAGTCACAAGAACTCGTCTAATGAGTTATGCGAACCAGCGTAAGGATCACTGATCGCGATCTAGATCCTTGTGAAACAAACAGGCCCTTAGATTTCCATATTGCGCACAAAGATAGCTTGACTTGGGTCTAATGAATTTCATTTTGGGCGAATCTAAAAAGTGGTAGCGAGTCTCATGTAAACTGTATGGACCGTGCCACTGACAGTATGCACGCCACCGAAGAAAGACCGACTGTGAACGATACAGCGCAGCCCAGCGCAACTCTGGCGGTCTGTCCATCTAACTCCCCCAGGCCGGCGGCCAAAGTAATCATCGTTAAATTACAATGTAACAAACATTTGCCTATCTGATGAAGAAGAAAGAATGGAAGGGGGAAAAAGGGAATATCCAAACGCACCTGTTTCCGTGATGGTTGACCCAGTTCGGCCACCGAGGACCGTCGCAGGGAGAACCGTGTATTGATGCAGAATTCCCCGGGCCGCCTGCTCGTAAGCACAGTGACGCAAGGCCGACCAAACCAAAAAAGATTATTTCTTCCCCCGATATTTAGGAGGCCTACTTTCCTGTGTAGTTGTCACGATAATTTTGCTTTTACCGACATTCAAATTTGGACAGATTTGATGGAAGAAGAAAGGGGGAAATGAGTAATCAGGAAAGACCAATATTATACCTTTATTCGCTGTATACTGAAGTGTGCTGATCGCTTATTTATTAATGCCTATCTTTGCATTTTATGCAAGGTTTCCGGCGCTCAATCCGTCGCCCGCCGGCCCAGATCGACCGATATCAGTGTCAAAAGAGAGGTTTGACAAAAAAAGGGGGAAATGGAGTTTAAATCTCGGCCTTGGGGGTAGAATTCTTTTGACTGTAGCATTCGTCACAGGGAATCGAGAGAGAGAGAGAGAGATAATGCGATATCTCTGTCTTGTCGTGTTTTCTCGTTTATTGAAGGGGGGATTTCCGTAACCCACTTGGTGGAATGTTTGTCAATAATCGATGAACATTCGACACTTTCAAGAGCTATTATGCAAACTTGGAGTGCATTTTGGGACCCCCGTTAGCGCGCGAGCTCTTTCGCCCGCGGCCACCTTTTGCAAGACTACTCTTTAAACGCTGCCAGAATGGAGTCAACTTCGGCTTTTCGTCCTCTGCGGATTGCACGCTTAAGTCATGTCTTTGACCGTGTAATTTTGCTAAAAGCGACAGTACGATTCTGCCAACGTCAATCAATTTATTTCGAACATCATGAGAAATATTCGGCTCAGTAATAATAATAATAACAGCTTTATTTTCTGATGGTAGCCATGTCATCTAAAAAGAAGGATGATTTTTCAATGGGCCATCTATCAATATTAAGCTTACATATAAAACTATACAATAATTTAAATGACAAACAAGGACCAAAGATAACAATTAGAAAAATAATTACAGTAAGCATAAAACTACGACCAAAAAATAAATGGATCAGAAATTATGCCATAATAAAAATCTATGCAATAAATACGCATAACAATCCCATCAAAAATGAAAGTGAGTGCAGATCTGTTTTTGTTCTTATCCTTCCGTAATATCGAAAGTTTGAAACATTTTCTTTGGGGTCGGCAGCCTGACTTGAAGCCAAAGTAAGAGACAGGTTTAGGATTTGGGAAAAAAATGGTAAATGTGTTACACGGACGTTGTTACCGACGCCTGCTCTTGACGCCGTGCAGTTGACGTGTGGCACGACAGGAGCGCGTCGGTTGCTGTAAATGTCGAACTTGATTTCTCGCGGAAGTCGAATACAACAGTTTTGTTGTGTGTTGAGGTGTGTTCGATAGTTCTTTCCTTGATGTCTAATCATGAGCATTCGGTCACAGTACAGTAGAACACAAGTGCTTGTAAACTAAAGAGCATTTCGGTATGCACGGCAATATCACGGTTTTTAGAATTCAGCGCCGTGCATTTGAATTCGGCCGGCACGGCAGTGAAACGGCATCCAGACTGGGCTTAATGTGCGACAGACCCTTTGCTCGAATGACTTGGCTACGGATAGGATCCGCACCTATACATATTGAAAGCCACTGTAGCCATTCCTCGTAGCCATGTGCGTTGTGGCAAGCCGCAGCCATGATTTGGATTCCATGGTGCAGTGGCACCAGCCACCAGATCTGCTCTAGAATGCTGTACTAGAAGAAAGAAAACCTCTGCTGTCGGCTCGACTGATGTTCACACCAGATTCTTAGGAGCACTGGATCAGAGATAACCCGCTGTTTCTTCACCGAGATGTGATTATTCAGCCGAAGTGGACCACATGGATCATAAGGAGGAGGGAGTTTTGCAGGGCATAGGGTCGAGCAGGGAATTTAGCCGGATCTGCAATAACTCGCATCCTTTTTTGTCGTGCGTGTACTAATACCGGTTTAAGTAGGGTAGGGCTGACCTTAATTCCTGTCCGATTTATGCCATAAATACCTTTCAAGCCTCCGAAAAAGAGGGAGGAATCGGCTAATGCCAATTTTTAATTCATTCGAGATTAGTGTCCAGGAAGAGGAACGAATGAATGTTGCAAACTCTTGATCTAGCGTGTCGATATTTTGTCCACCCCCCCTTTTTTAGAGTTAAAATTCACAATACCGGTATGAGTTTTCCAATCGGAGTATTTCTGTTGAACACCCAGTCAACTAAACATTACAGGAAGTTTCACTCTTAAACTAAGTGGCCAGCAGTTCACTCAAAAGGGTCGATGGTCTCTGGGTAATGTAACGATGGTGTATCTTTAAACGATAATGATTTCTTTTTACTTTTCAAATGAGAATTTTATTGCATTTGAACTGAAAACAGTATGTACATCAACAAAACTATATACAAAAATATAGTTTTTCTTCTTTTTTACAAATAAAAGGAGTTTAAACATAAATAGTTATGGCAATAAATTTAATAATCGTAAATGTTTACACAGAAAGAAACGCACGTTTCAGATTCTTCACAAAGACGAATAATAAAAGTCAGGGGATATTGAATGAACGACAAAAAAGAGCGGACCGACAAACAGACGAAAGATAAAAGGATAGTATAGATACATTTGCGTAGAGTTAAGTCAGGGAAAATAAATATGTGCTTGGGTCTGCACTGGGGAAAGATCTTTTAGAATGGCTCATAATCGTGTTTGGATTTACCGAGAAGAGGGCGACCTCTAACCGCCCGTGTTTCCCTGCTCCCTGGGGTGGTTGTAAGGCACTGACCAGGCTAAATTTGACATTGATTTTTTGAAAAGTTCTTTGAATTTTGAAGACGCTCGCTGGAGCAGACAAAAAATCCCAGTTGCATCCCGGACTAACGCACCTTAAATTAACCTTTTAAAACACTTTCATTGACCAAATAAAATAACGAAGTATAGTTTCTGCGAGTTTGATTTATCGACACGGATTTCAACCTTAAAGCAATGAGAAGACCGGTAGCCGTTGTAGTGGTCAGTAGACGTCAGTTCAACTCGGCGTGTTTTTGGAGACCGACTCTAGATAAATATGACTCTGTCAATGCAAACTCCCATTGAATGTGTAATATGCCACATACAAAGCAGGTGTCAATGACTGGTCATTGGCCGCGGATTGTGTCAGAGTATGGAGCTCTCACTTCGATAAATCGGCATTCTGAAAAGCAGAGCCGTCAGTGCTAAATGAAGCTGAACTCTCTGGGATCTCTTGGCCCAATGTGCGTAGCCCAACGTACTAGTGGTATGAGGTTACGGATGACCGGCCCACTTTTTTTTTCTTGTCCGACACAACTGTCTGGAGATACACCATGTACTTTCCTATGGGAAAATGGTTTTATTGCCAGTCTTGAGAGGAGACTAGTCTTTACGCCTCACTGTCTCCTGTAAATGTCAGGCTTTACTTCCCTTTGAAGAAAAAAATCCACCAGAGCCATTATTATCGCCTTTATTCAAGTCGAGTTTCCCCAGCATGCTGTGAAAGATAACAATAATACAAAGTTTCGAAGCAGTTACACCGTTCACGTTCTTTTTATTTGCAACACGTAGCTCGAAACTACCTCCAGTGCATGGTTTAATGCGTGTGATATATCACAATTATACTTGCAAGTTTGTTTGAAGAATGATGATGAGTATAATATTCATCTTTTGACATCAAGTTTTATAGACTGTACGCATGGCCCGGTTGTAAGATGCGCTTTCGTGCATTAGCCTACCTGCCTTCCCTCGTCGTGCACATTCTTGCCCGTGCTATTTTAAAGGCGCCCTCTGTCGAATGCCTTGCGTCATTTCTGTTGTTCGCACATTCCTTTGGCGCTCATTCGTTTTCAAACTCGGTGCCAGACCACTGCGAAACGTGAACTGTTGCGCGAATACTACTTATGAGGCGTGGATAGAGATGGGTGGGCATTGGACACAGATTACACAGTAAATCTGACCATTTCCCACGTTAGACGGGAAGAAATGTTAATGTTAGGCTGCGTATTTTCCCCCACTGCTGTTGTAATGTGTGCACGGGAAGTGCTTGTGCATTGCATTACATTTTCCGCTGTGATGAGTAAATTTGTCAGGGGTGGGGATTTTGCCGGAATCTTGCGCCAAATTCCGGCCAGATCTGGTCATCCCGAGACCTGTTTATGGATTTTCTTTCTCCAGAGGATGGCCTTAAATCACTGTCGCGGAGGTTGTATAGAGTGGGTGCAAAAGACAGGGCTATGTGTTGTGGAGACGCGTTGTGAAGGACCTTCAAGTGTCTGTAACTCAATTCACCCCAAGTCTTGCACATTATGGCCGATTATGGGGGCATTTTTGCGCAGGTGCAATGCCTTTGATCCCACTTCTCCATTTTGTCACAACGCTTGATAGCAAAGGGACGAGCCCAAATTTCCTAACGATACGATCGATTATTCTCCGTTGCCCTATTTTCGAATTTGCAAAGCAAAATGGCTCGGTCCAACGAGCTTTTTCACACTGAAGAGAGATTCTTAGGGGCTGCGACCATGACCGCGTGTAAATAACGCACCATCTATTCAAATGTCTTATGACTAAGTTTTCAAATCACAGGGAGCTCTGGGTCATTCGGTGGACTCCTTTTCTTCTTTCCATTTAAAGTTCCAAGACTTTAGCTTGGAACGATGATGGAGGCGTGGCTAGTTGCATGTATAGAGGGAGCAGCCTGTTTGGGAGTCTTCAAGCCCAACAGGGGAAAACTGAGTTTCAAATTCGGCTCAATTCATTTATATGCATATGAATTTTGCAAAAACCAAGAGTATTTTTCAATGGCAGAGTGCAGGTGATTGGTAGACACAAGTTTGGACAGCGCCATTTGATGCATGACAGTCTTTACAGCTCACAACTGAAATCCCTTTCAACGCTCTTTGAGCTATAAACTTTTATTATCGTTATTATCCCCACAAGTTTCACACAGAAATGTACACATAACAATAAAATTTCAATCTAAACAATCGTTTCCATTACATTTCGATCGAACAGGTCAATCATATACATCTCATGTCTCGATTCTTCCGTGTGCATTCCTCTCTCTTTTTGTACAAAACGAAAGTATGATACATTTATATACCACAGTTCTGAGGAAAAAAACCCTCAGCAGCTACGAAGCTATTCAGCAAAGTGACAACTTGAAATTGTTCTTGGTTCGTGTTTCTAATGGGGAAATTGAAGTCCAGTCACACGGCAGAGCCTCGTCAGAGGCCGTCGTTCCAGTGTTGTATAAACGGGAATGGGGAAAAACGGGATTTTATTCCTATAAACGTTAGTTTGTTTTGGATAGTGCAGTGAGTGCATGCCTTGTAGGCTGTTTGAGATCTTTGGCAAGGTATATCGAACCATTACTTCATTTTTTTTCTCTGTCCTGCCTAGATTTCATCTCTGGCAGTTGATTCATTTCAGCGCTCACTTCTGTTATTCCTTTCTCTACACTCTTTTGTTAGCGCTCGGTCTAATACATTTTAGCCCGATGCAATGGCTATACAGGCGCTTGACAAACAACCTGCAAATTGATTTCCAATCGAAATCTCCCCCACAGGGAACGGAACAGCAAGTTATTGGGTTAAAGCCGCCGGTAAAGACAGAATGACTTGGGTGTCCATTATTCTGTGGTGTCGGCAAATGCGATCGAGGCGCCCGTTAATCGGGTTACTTTGTCCATCATTTCGTGCCAAAATTCGTTTTCTTTTATTGTCACTTCATTATGGCAAGAATAATTAAATATCTAAACATATAACAGCCTATAATAATTATCTCATAAAATTCAATCAGTGTAGTGGAACTTTTTAAAAACTTTCCCCCAGTACTGTCAAGCACCGAATAATTCTTAAGCTCATTATATTGTTTTGGCTCGCTCGAAATTTCGGCAATTTTTTTTCTTTTTTTGCGTAGGAAGTTTTTCTTTTTAAACCAGCGCCAATTTGAATTACTTCGAGTTTCGTAAAAGGGAACTGAACTACTTCATAACTTGATCAGTCGCTGATAGTCGTTTCATATTCGTTGCGGCTGGACGAAACATGCCGGCAGCACTTTGTTATACAACGACAAAAATGATTGAACCAAAAATGAATAGACTATGTTTGTTCCCGCTGGGTCTCGATTGGGACCAAAAAAAACCTGGCATACTAATATCATATCCAATTACCTTATTATTCCAACTCTCTAAAAATATAGCCGGCATAATATGCGTTATCTTGGGGGTATTATGGCAAGTAATATTAATGAATGACTAACTCCAGCCAGCTTGTATTTCGAGTGATTGAATTTCAACTGAAGTAATGCAACCGCAAGCGATTTCGCTCGCATTTTTTTTCTGTTTTGGTCGCAACAAAACACAGAGACTCCCCTGGATTTTGACAATAATTGTTTCTCGCTGAATTTCTACAATGATTGTACTTTGCTCTGAAAAAATAATAGCCTCTCTCAAGTTAAATCAAAGGGTTCCTACATGGAACCTTCCTACATTTTCTTATATGAATTTTCCACCCAAAGAAGTTTGAAAAGTTTTTTGGGGTCGATGATTTAATGCTAAATTCGTGACGTTTTGACCTAACAGTGTAGAAAGCCCGGCTCGGAAATGTCGAAGTCTCAGTGTGGGATATGATTTACACGATTTACCAAATGAAAAGTCCTTTAAAATAGAGCACACAAGCTCCCGTGCAGTAAAAAAAACCAAACAAACAAAAACAAAAAACAACATATGTAATTTACAAAAATGCAGTTTGATTGAAGGCCGATAACCAAATTTTATCATGATTCCGTGTCTTGAGCGATAGGGCGGTCTGTAAGCAACTGAATCGGTGTACAAATGAGTTGTCTTCCCTCGAAGAGGAATTAACTTTCTTTTACTTTGGTCAATTAATGATGGAGCATGTTGACGGCTAATGTCGCTGTTGATTTGAGAGCCTTTAGTACGGTTCTACAGCACCAAATGGGCTGTGGATAATACGCCTTGGGAGAGCCGTCCACTCCACTCAGCTGCCCTGGTCTAGAGTCGGTGTAGCCCAGGTTGCCACCGGCGGGTAGAGTTTCGAACCTCACACCAATGCCGCGTTGGGCGCGGTTACTTTCGTGGGGATGAGTCGGGGTTCCATCCTCTCCCGTCCTCAGTGGCTGTGAGGATGGAGCGCCCGGGGAGCCAGCGGTAAGTGGCTGACGTGCTGCTGGAGTCCGTGCAGGAACAGGCGGGGGAACACGGGCCTCTGGCCGGCGTGCAGGCTGTACAGGCCGTCCAGGTTGGAGACGATCCCCTGAGTGGGGTGATAGTAAAAAGGCGGGGCGAACATCCGCTGCATGGAGGCGGTGTAATTGCCGGCCTCGGCCAGGAGTTCCAACCCGACGGCTGTTTGGCGTTTCCATTTTGTCCTGGAGAATTAAATAAAAAAAGAGAGAAATTTAATCCTCTATTCAACCTTGAACGTCAAGAAGAAAATGAAAACGTCCTGTCTTCAGTCTTCGTGTATAAATGCCTTTTGTTATGTAGTTTGAAATTGGCAAGAAACGAGACTGACCACTCAGGCTCTATAATACAAGTTACGAACAGAAAGTATTGCTTAGCCAAATTTCCTCCTCAACAAAGGAGGAATTTGTGTCAGTTTTTAGCACCATACTAGTATACGGTCAATGTGCTACTTATTACTCATTTCATTGAGCCACGCATACATAAGTCAGTATATTTACTGAGGTTGTGCGACTTGCTAGTATCTTAGCTTTATATTCTACAACACGAAATGTTACTGTTAGTGTTAATGTAAACTGTTGTTAGTGTTGCTTGTTGTTTGTTGTCAATGTTTGCTGTTGTTTGTTGTTGCCATGTCAGGAGTTCACTTTTGTGGGGTTTAATTCCCATTTACTTGATTACTTCTATGTTTGATTTCAAAAAGAACAAAGTAGTCATTTCCCACACGAATTTTTAGGCTGGCACGAACAGAATGGAATTTTTATGAATGTTTTTCGCTCGTCCAGTAAGTCCCTTTTGGAGTAACTTCAACAACAGGGGCGTTCGTTCGACCACTCAAACAAAATGGCACGAGCTCTGCTCAAAATACATCTTTAGCAAAGTTAGGGCTACAGGCAACCAAGAATGCAGTTTCGTAAACTGTTCTAATCATCCCCCCGTTTTCGTGATTTCCTAAAGAGCTAACCCAAATAATCGACGGGACGCCACAATGTTGCCCTATATCGCGACGGCCCCTCCGCCTCTGGCCGTTATTAGGCGTCCCACCCCTGTATAGGTACCGGGGGGCTGGACTCTACTGTTCAACAATACAAGCTATTGCGAGCGGACCCGGAGCGAGCCAACCTACCGTGTATAAACTGTTTTGTACGGCACTTCCGCCGCCCCGGCTCCCGCAACTGAGAGTCCCCGCTCCCGGTAATTTGGTTGTTTTGTTACCGTTGTTGGTTATGGCGAGGAAACCCAAACCAGAAAGAAACGAACAAAATCGCCTGCAAGCGGTATTTTTTCACACTTCAATTCTTGAGTTGATTGGTATTGTTGCCGGGTTCCTGTGAATATACCATTTCGGTTGCACAATGAACTGGAATAATGGCTTTTTACCCCCGACGACTTAAAAACTGCGAAAAATCATCTGGTAGTGAAAACGCCAGCCTGTTTATACGTTGTTTTATGACGACACAGTGCGTGGGTGAAACAAGCCAATCTGAGTCGGTGTGACAGTGTTGTCGAACGGCAGGAAACTGCGTCGGAATACCGCAATAATACAATCCAAACAGTTATCCAAGAGGAACAAAGAGGCACATCCGCATGGCAAAAATCGCATTTTATTGGGGGAAAAAGCTGGGAACAAGACCTCCGGATGGACTTGCTGACAACCGCAGACGATAAATTGTGTGTGGAAAATCGGCAGTCATAACCTGCATTTTCTTTCCTTTTTATAAAAAGTGTCACCCCTGGGTGACCACAAACAACCCTGCTTTAGTTCAGCCACGGGCTAGGGTTCGTACCAATTTGTACCCCTGACCTCCACCTTTCAGCGGCAATTATTGAGGCCCCTTTGGTACCCCCCTTTTCGACACCAAGAGTGTCGTAATCGTTGCGCGCCGTAGCCCCCCCCCCTTTTGAAATTTTTTTTATTGCTAACAAATTTTCCGCGTTGAACAACCCAAAAGGCCGCGCTTAATAGTCCCTCCCCAGAGGCACATGTTGTTTCCGTGGCTTTGTCCGTGCGGCACCGGGGCTTGCCTGTTGGTTCCGTTACATCACCCGGTTGGTTTACCGAAAACAAAAGGTCCCTCCGCTTTAATTCGCTTCTGCAAGCTTGTTCACGCCGCATTTGGCACATTTTCCCCCCTTTTTTACGAGAGAAAACTTTGTAGTTTGAGTATTACAGCCGCTTGCTTGCAAACTGCAGGCCCAAATGACGGGCTTGTCTTTTTATATTTGTATGTTTGTTATTGTTGTTTTGTTTGATTAACTTGTCCGTTTTTTGTGCCAGATTTTAAGACTCGTTTTTAAATTGGCTGGTTAGAGTTTTTTCTTCAGTTTTTCAGAGATACATATTTATTTTTTTAAATGGTGGTCTCAAATATGTGGACGTTTGAGACCCCGTTCTCAACCACGAACATTAATGTTACACTCATGCTGGCTCTACACACTGTGGCAGTATTACGAATAATATCCATTGAAAGGAAATTATCGACTCTTACTGATATTTTCTTAAACATTCTTCTGCAATTTCATATTAGGTCAGGCTTGTGAAGAGGGATTTGGCGTACAGACTTAAAGAAAATAATTTCTCAAAGAGAACTGGTTTGCTCCCAAATGCTTTTTGGCTTGAACAAAAAGGGACAGAGATTCTTTGAAAAACGCGGTTGATTTGTGTAAACACAGTATAAGGTTGCTCGTACTCTAAAAAGAACTCGAACTTAGTCTTGACTTCCGTTGCATTCTCGACAGTCGAGTCCAGCAGCGATCTTTGGAAGTGTCTGACTTGACAAACACATTCCTGGCTTTTGTGGCGCGAGTGAAGAAATTCCGCGGCGTGCGCCGAATTTGACTCTCAACTTGCTGCGAAGAATGAGCGAGAACCCTCTGCTTTCTGGGGGTGTTTGGGACCCTGGACATGCCAACGGTGTGTCGGATAAAATAGTTACGGATATAATCCCCGGAAAACCTGACTTTTTATTTTGATGTCGCTAATCAAGCGGAAAGGACTGAAAAAAGTGTGAATTTTTGACCTTGTTGCTTCGATATGTTTTCTTAAAATAAAAAAAAGATTTATTAAAAATGACTTTCCATTGCGCTGCCGCGCCTCTCCACTGTATATAGTGTCGGGGAGCGCATAAACCTCTCAGTAACACCGGACCATTTGATGAAAAGTGTTTATTTCTGAATTCTGAAATGTGTGCCTTAATAATGTTGTTTATTTAAGACACAATAATCTAATCCTTTCAATAATAATTTTTTTTCTGAACAAGTGCCTGCTTTTTTAGAAGATAACAATCAGACTTGCTCGCAATTTTCTCCAATGTGTATTTGATAGACTTTAAAATTTCTGAGAGAATACTGCGCCTGATTACCGGCAGACGCCAGTTTTCCATTTGTATCTTCCCACTCCAATGTATTTTCCCCCCTCAAACTCCGATTTTTCTGCCGTCATTGTTCATATTCTCAGTCGCCGCGCAGACTTCAATGCACCATCACCAAATATGTCTAATCCCCTGCCAGCAATTTGCTAAATTCACTCTGAGTGATCCTCTCCGACTGTCAACACTCATCCGGTATTTAACGGCCCGATAATCCAGGGAATGGCCGATTCTGATAAAAAGAGCCCTTTCCCCCATCAAATATCAATTATGGAACAGCGATACAGACGAGGGGCTAATCCAATCATGGCTTCTTAGCTCATCCGAGCGCGCCACACATTTTGAAGGCGTTTGATGCTCAGTATCTCGCGGGAATGGAGGGAAGGTGATGGAAAGAGACACACACAAAAAGACGTAGACACTCCGTCGGCCTGGCGAACAATGAAAAATTACCCCCAAGAACAAGTGCAATCTGGCTTACATCGCCGCAGAAAGAAGAGAACAGCGAGTGTGATGCGGAGGGTTTTTTTTTTCTTTCACGGAGGGAGAGATTCGCTTAATCTGCGCCGAGATGGCCAAATAAAACGGCACGCATATCCCGGGATCGCTTTGGCGTCGAGAAGCCATGAAATATTAAAATAACTCGCGCTTGATTTTCCAACGACTGCACGGCAAGGCTGCGTGTATTATGTACCCGAGCAGGCATCGGGTTTAGTTCTGAGAGAATCAGTGTCCTTCCTTGTTTTCCTGTGAGTAGAGTTTCCATTTAGCGGATTGTCGTTGTCAACTCGGGGGGGGGGCAAACTCCTTGCCGTCTCGCCAGAATGTGCCCGTGATTTCGTGTAAAACACTGTCGGAAACGTCTTTTTAAAAGCAGCTTTGTGGTTTGGCCGGATATGCTGGAAGCAACATAACCAGCTCTCCGTTTTGAAATGAAATGGTTATATGAAGTATTTTATTTACTACAGTACTCTATTTTGCCACTGGTCAATAAAAAACCCATCTTTTTACGAATTCTATTAATCTCAAATCTCGTCTGTATGTTTGCGTCAGTCTGCATCAGCTGATGATCGCGTCTTTGTCCTCAAGTCTGTGTCATCAGTTGTCTCCTTTCAGTGGGCGGATCCAGGAAAATGTACTGGGGAGGGCAGTTTATATTGCGACAACCTTGGCTGCATCCCACAGAGAGAGGCACAATCTCAGAATGTGTTCCCCCCATTGAATGGATATGTCAATGAATGGATTGATATTTTAACCGCACTGTCCTATGCTCTTAGGCAAGTTTGATTTCCCTGATTCATAAACACTGAAAACTGTTTATTTAACACAGCGGAGTCATTTCTTTTGAAACACCTTTGCAGTATATAACTTGATGACTGATAATCTTTCACCGTCTGTTTGGAGGATGAAGACTCAATCGACCTTTCTGAGTGTTAGCCGATCTTGATAACGCTTAATTCCAACAATATTGTGAATTCTGGTCTTGAAATTTAGGATTGCTGACAGAACGCTACGGAAAAAGAATAAAGATGTCAATGAAATCCTCTTTTCCCAATCTTTGGACCCGCCCACCAGGGAGGGCTTCTGTTCTCTATGTATTCGTAAAATGTCAGTCTTTGATCCCCTCCCAGTCTACCCACCTCCGGTTCTGGTACCACGTCTTGACCTGCGTGTCAGTCAGGTTCAGGCTGGCGGCCAGCTCCATCCGGTCCTGGACCGACAAGTACTTCTGGCGCTCGAAGCTCCGCTCTAGGGAGTTGAGCTGGTGGTCGGTGAAGGCGGTGCGGGCCTTGCGCGGCTTCTTGGGTTTGCCGGGGCTGTGGCTGTCTCTGCTGGACGAGATCTCGTTGTCCTTCCCTGCGAGGTTCGACGAGAATTATGCAGGAGTAAGAAATACCTTTTCAATATTGAAGCATTACAGAGGACCACTAGTCCTATGTGGATATCATTTAGTGTTAATTCACTAAATGATAACACTAAATACCGTTAATGTCATACCACATTTTGCAGCATATCGACCTTTTTCTTTTCTTTTTTTTATTTATTCGTCACTATATATATATATATACACCCATTCGGTGCATTTTAAAATCAACCAGCATTTTTGTTGAGGCGTAACTTTTGACTTTACAGTACAGTAATGCTCTGTGGGCCATAAGCAAATTTGTGGATTAATGATCCGTCAATGTTGTGAATGATTTGACCAGCCTCTCATGGAGCAAACATCATGAAATTATAATACCGCCGGTCGCCAATGAAAAATGGAGAGGCAAAATGCTGGCACGAAGGCAGACCATAAAAATCGTCCGTTATTTCAGCAGATTGAGGGATTTAAGCGGATAAAAGGCTTTGTGTAAATTAAATAGATCGGATAATTTTCTGTTTATTTTCAAAGAACGATTAAAGACGCATGTTAAACCCTAACAGTACCCAATCCACCTGTCACAGGATTGAGGACGGTTCAGTTTAATTGTCAGTGCTATACTTTGTGTTTTTTTATCAACCCAAGAAGGACTTTTTCACATTTTGTGAAGAAATCCCTCTTAAATAGACTTTTCAAAAAATTGGGCACAAAATGTAAACACGATTCCTGCGCTCTTAAACCCGTCATTGGAGACAGAAAGACAGAAAGGAGATGATATTGCTCTTGGCGGAATTTACGAACTGGACGATCGGCAACATAAGCTATCTTGATTCCGCGAGTAAGCGGCGCCGAGCCTAGCATGGCGTCATAGCTGACTGGCCACTGAACCGCCTACAGGGCTGGCCTCCGTGTAATGATATCTTATTAGTTCGCTGCCGAGCAGATGTGGCTGGGAAGAAAGATTGGGGGAACTCGGCAGCGAGAAGATAATGAGAGAGATGTCGAGAGAGGACAGAGAGGGGTTGAATACCGCCGATGAGTTGAGGTTATAAAGTCCATTTAGCAGTCCCCACTAGACGACTTTGAAACAAATTAAAATCTAATATCGGTTCCCGCGGTGGGATTTCGATTTACGGCGGGCGCGCGGGAGAGCGCGAGAAGGATGAACTGGGGGGACAGAGGGCGCAGCAAGCTGGCAGTTGAGAAGCCGATGAACGCGTCCGAGGGACCCTTCTATTCCCGGGGCTCGGGGCGCTCGTTCGCCCGTCGTTAAAAACCAATCTAAAATCACTGAGTTGTGAAGACTATATTGAGTTTTGTGTGTGCGTGCGTGTATGTATACATATGTATACAGTCAGGCAATCGTGTTTTTTTTTTTTTTTTTTGTGGCTGCAACACTTCGACAGTTTTTTCCCTCGGAGGGAAATGCCTTCGTTGTCTGTTAATGCATTCTAAGCCAGGGTGACTGCCTTCCTTATCTCATTACATCGAAATTTTAAATCGATTAAGGATAAGAGTTACATTATTACGCTGCTACTTATAACGCCATCCCTTGTTCTGGAAATAGCAAACTTGATTCTGTGCGATGGGAAATAGGTGATCATATAACCATGTTGTCATTGTAAGTAAAATTGACAGTTGATGATCAAATGAAAAAAATTACACCATGAAAGTTGCAAATGTCTATAATTTTGTCAGTGGTACATGAATGCCTGGTACTTTACAAGTTTTCCAACGCATTCAGTCTCTTAAGATGAAACAGTTTTCCGACACTTGACGAAACATGACTTCTGTCAGTGGCCTCTCTCAGACATGGACCTTACTTTCAGAGATAAACATTCTCCGTCTTGCCATATGGCATTGTATCAGAATTTGAAGGTGCAGTCTGAAACGGAAAAGGCCAAAACAATTTAAGTGGCCAGCACTTGAAATCGCAGCGAGGCCTATCTTTGTCATACTAACCACTGGATGTGTCTTGTTTTGGTAACAATTTTACGGTATGTGACTTTTTGAAAAGTAGTGAAACTGGGCATGAGGAAAAGTTTGTCCAAGTTGTATGACTTGTTTAAAGTTCAAGTAAACTCCATGTGGGAAAATGTTACATTCCACGTCAACTACTTGCGATATCAGGTTTTTTTTTCAATACTTGAACTAACAAAAAGGAAAATGCTGCAAACTTCTTAAAAAATTTCGAGCCGACTTAGTGGGAGGGGAGTGGGGAAAAAAGAAGTGGATTTAGGGAGAGAAAGTTCCATGCTCTCTGTTTGTATCGTTTAGCAATGTTCTCAGTTTCGATCACACACTCTAGGGACATTTAATGCGCCGTCCCAAACGCAACCCTCGCGCGTCCGGCAACACCTCGCCTCGCCGTTTATCTTTTGTGGGACTTCGCTTATCGACAGGACATCGGCGGAATTCGAAATGGTGCGATTGTGCGAAGCTGTTGCTGCGTGAAGCTGCGCCCGACAGTGTATGGAGAAAAAAAATCATCGCGCTAGTTGTGTACACGCTCGCACACAAAGGAATATACACCGCTCTACACAATGACGGGGCAGGCTTTCTATCGAATTACGAACATAACGTCTAGCAAAGCATTAATGCAATTATGATGGATTGAAGAGGGCTTTAAAAACCAGTCAAAGAGGGCACTAGGCCTTTCTTACAGAGAACATTTTGGTTAAAAGTTGCACATAGAAGGTACATCTTGAAGATTCTGAAATCAGAAGGTGACAGTGTCCCACGAAATCAATTACAAATCAATTACAGTTGCAAAGATTTAGTACCTCGTGCCCCGGTTTTACACAGAGGGTAAAACGAAAGGACTTTCAATTGTTCTGTACATTAAGCGGAATATTTTTTCTGTGTTTAATATCCGTATATGTCTTTGTCCGCAAGGGTTTCTGATAACTCAGAAATGGTGAGTTTAAAGGGAAAATTTGCCAGCAAATAGTGTGTTTTATGAAAGACAAGATGAAGGAAGTTTTTTTTTTTCAAGGGAATGGGATAACGATTAAAATATAAAGATAAGTTTTCAGAGTTTCAACTAACGCTTGAATGACGCCATTAATTTTTAATCCAAAGCAAAAATGCCTGCCAGGAAATGTGATAATGAAGTTCCATGAGTCTAGTTTGGGCTAAGCGGCATAAACTGAATTTACAAATGGTTACATCAAGGACATCAAAGAGATTACAAACTCAGATGTTTACCTGTCGCTGTGTCACAGTGCCCGTTTTTCAGGTCATCACCAGCATCGTCGTTGTGCGGTCTTTTCAAACTGTTCTCGGCGTTGAGGTGATGGTGGTGGTTATATCGGTGCGAGTCAGTGTCTGAATCCCTCCCCGATAATTTCTCCCGGTGCTCCCCGGCAAACATTGCCCGTTCACACTCCGAGTCCCTGTCCTCGTCGTCGTCCTGGTCGTCGTCCTCCTCCTCTTCGGAGGCCACGACCCTGGTGGCTTCCCTGGGCTTCATGTCGCCCAGAATGTCCCGTATGAGAAACGAAGGGGCGTTGGAAGTCCGCACCGGCTCCGTGTGGTAGGCTTTCAAGGGGTGGATGGTGTTGTTGTTGGGCACGGTGTGTGCCGGCGACGAGCGCGGCGGCTCCACCGAGGATTTGCTGTCCAGCACGGTCGCTGCCACTGCACTCGGCGCGCTCAGCACGATACTGCCTTCGTGGTGGTGATGGTTGTGCTGATGATTGTGGTGATGGTGGAAAGTAGCAGGACGCGTGCTGGCCGCTCCGCCGGGGACGTGCACCCCTCGCCCCGCGAAGTCCGGCTCGTCTGAGTCCCGGGGAGAGTTCACCGCTATCGTCGTGGGGACTGAACCAGGCGACGACAAGGACGAGGACGACGATATCGAAGAGGACGACATGTCGCTGCGGGGACTGCTGCTGGCCAGCGTGAGCGGAGATCGGAGGCTGGGTAACGGCACGGCTTCCATGGCCGTCTGCGCTCTCATTTGCGGGGAACCCAACCACAAACTGAGAACTAAAACGTCGAGACTCCCTGTTATAGGCTTGTAATCCGCAGAGAAACGATTAACTCGCGCCTGACTTGCTCTCCACTTCACCGCCTGACGAGTAGTTATTACCGCACTCGACTGCCCATTTAAATGCAGGATTCACTTTTAGCGCTCCATGCAGCTTGCTGGTAGATGTCACACACACAACCTGCAATAAAACACAAACAATTTAAAGTGATTTGTCAATAAAAATGAACAGCTGGCAGCGAAAAAGATGCATACTCTGTCTCAGCCTGATATAAGCGGTTTACAAAGGGACTGGTAGGCTTCCGGCTGTAGTCTCTTTAACATTTACGATTTCGTCAACTTAAGCTGGTGGTCTTTATTTTTACTGAAAAGATTAGAAACCATACTTAAAACTTACGCAATGCCAAATTCAGACTTAAGAATTACGTAAGATGCGATGCACCGTTGGAGGGGCCCACCTTGAAGTGAGGGCGCGAGTCGGAACACAGTCCGTGAAATAATAACGGCTGAACAATAACAGCAACAGTTTTTAACTGTGCGACCCAATCGTTCTTGTACCTCAAGTGTCCAATCGTTTACGCCCTCAAGTCCCGAACAAAACTGAGCACTCGTGGTGAAAAGGGACAGCTTAAATGCTCCACCGCAGCCCGGGAACCAATCTTGAGAACGAACGAGGGGGCCCGGACCGCGCCGAGGTAACACGCGTGACCCAAACCGGCCGTCTAGCGCTTCACAGTCGCGGCAAGACTGTCACGGACTATCGACTGACAAGCCAAGCACACGTAAGCTGTTTAGCATAACACAAGAGCCGTGGGGCTGTTCGTTGCTGAGTTAGCGGCAGCTCAGCCAACCACTAGCAAGCCGGCTTGTTATTTCTCTTCTTCTCATAGCTGGCGCTCGCGCACTGCATGCAGCTACATCACAGAACGCGTTGTCAAACCTGTTAATCGTTCCGTGCTGCTGAGTGTGCCGCTGTTTGCGCGTCGATCGCGGCAGTCACGGTCGCCCCTGTATCAATGTTTAATGAAGTCCGTGGAGTCCGAGATGGGCGTGTGGGGTGGACAGGCCTTTTGTTTCGGTCACGATTAGGTCATAAAGGTTGCGAGAGGAGGCCCCTCTGTGCGGATCGAGGGTCAGGAAGCGTCAATTGAATACCCAGTCCAATCGCGCGGCCCTGACACCCTTGGACGTCAAAAACCGTGAGACGGGTTGTTGACGAAACAATTACCCCGGACGAGTTTCGGCATCGTGGCAATATTCAAGAGTCGGTACATGCTGTGCGGCACGCCACTTGAACGATCGGCACCCCGGAATTAAAAAAGAAAGCTTGATGCCCATTTACTAATAAAATTAGAGACACTTATTGTGAGTGGGCGCTGCCGGCGTGCAGCATGGTAGGGGAGAGATCGCAGCACAACCAGGTCAGGACATTGTGATCGATCCACGGTAGGCCCACCCTTCCCTAACTTGGTGTGAAGGTTCTCTGCCGAGTTAAAAGAACAAATCTCAAACGAACAATACAGGCCACTCTCATTTTGATTACAATTTGTATAGGGGGGCCAAAATTTGCCGAAAAATCACCTACTGGTCGTTTTTCGATTTGGCCTCCAATTTGTTCAAAGTGGATTGTCTCATTAATTTAAAGAGGGTCATATTTTCATTTATTGCTTCTTGGTTACTATATTATTATCTATATTATTTTAACATGTTATGACTCATTCTTTCACCTTCTTGCTGACCAACAGCCATTAGTTTAGCAGCCACTTATAGGAAAAAACAACACTAGTGACGTAAAAAGAGCAAACCCTATATAAGAAAGGGGGCTTTCGTCTTACAAACGCCCATTTCTTGATCACGCCCTCCATTTTGTCCCCGGTTTTACCTGCTTTGAGCGCAAATAGCTCACCTCCGTTATTGTTTTCGTTGTGACCCGGCACTTTTCAAGCCAACACTTCCGAGGACCTCGTTTGTCACCAGCGCCAAGCAAGCCAAGCTGTGCCTGCGGCCGTGGTTTTCGCGACTGCCGCACGACCCGATAACCGGGTCGCTTTAGATCATTGCGGCAGACTTACACTGGAGGCGCGCGCTGAGTCAAAAATGTTGACGCTACTTTGACTGCAGTGTCTTTCGCATGCAAAACCACCACCCAAGGCACATCATTTGTCCCTCTCGACAGTAATTAGAAAACCGAAAAGTTGACAGGTGTGCAGCAGCCTGGAAATTGGCGGGGAAGTTCTGGGCGCATGCGCGGTGTACCAGCACGACACTTCCAACCCGATTGGGGGATTGCTAGTGATGCGCGCGTGATTGACAGTTCATTGCCATATCCACCGTCAAGGAGGCGGTGCATATTAGAGCGCCAAGAAATAAACACGGGCCTTTTCAATTGCTACTTATATGCTCACCTAGCGGAACCGATTACACCGACCGCGAGATGATCTTATTTTTAGATCAATCATTCCCCTCTTTTTAGCGGGAGAAATTATTAGCATTCGTTTGTCCTTCGTGTCTAAAATAATTACCGAAGGCGACATATTAATTGTGTTAGGTGATTATATGAGCTGATATCTTTCCCTTATAATAATATTACATCCTCTCACCGTTGGATGTGCTACTAACAGAAATATAATTGGATTCCGTAAGATTGTTCACTTTTTCTATGGTCGACGTAATTGTTTTGCTCATTTGTTTTAAATTTCATTTATTGATTTATCTTTTTTAAGGAATCCGTGAGGGTAAATTTACGGGAACCTCAGCAGTGTGCACGAGGGTGCAGGGTGCTAATTTGTGTGCAAAATGACTGACTCTATACGGTAAGTCTGTGTTCAGACCATTTTTTAAAAAATAAATTCTCACCTGTTACAATATGAAAACCGCCATATCAAGGTTTCCATACGTGACTATCGTGATATCAAGTGTTTTTCTGCATTCAACGAATTCTTTAAACACACACGCCTTGAAGACTTGATAGCGGTACACTATACACTGGTGCTTAGAGCTTAAACACATTTCTAAATATACTTTTTATACCCATTTTTTCTAAAAACAATTTTCATGTAGGACATGACATTTACACTGAAATTCTTTTAGGAATGGGTTTAGATACTAAGCGAATTTCATAAAGCTAAAGGTGTGCCATGGAAAAACGTTCAACGTTTAAACACTTTCTTAAACACATTTCAATAAATATGTTGTGGTTAAACATTTTTTTAAGTTGACACAAAAGTGTTTAAACGGTGTTTTTAGAGCAAATTAGGCCTACAGTAAAGTGGTAAATTTTGCTTACATAAAAGAGTTATAAATCTACAAGGTACGCAACTTTATGCGTACAATCAACCTGTGTGAATTTCATTCAAAATGCTCCAGTTCTGTGCAAACATACCTGATGTTTTCACCATCAGGCAGAAAAGGAAAATTCTGTAAATGATAAATTGCCATTTTTTTCACGCTATCGATAGCTGTATGTAAACCCTTAAAAGTAACATGGACATGTGCATGTTAAAAGCAAGTGTGCGGAAACCGGTGTTAGTGCCATTGCTTGGGGCTCGCGCGAAATCTTGTAAAAAATGACGTGTTTTACTTAACTTGAAACCTTTTAGTTATCTAGCGAAACACCTGCGCCTGGCTATAGGACACGTAATGATCGCGTGACACCACGGAGATCATTCAAGCCCGCGAGCCCGCTCTAAATGTCACACCTTGCCCAGTTGTCTTTCGATCGGGGAAAAGAACGAACTGCTACAACTAGCCCGTACTGTGCCACCACCAAGAGGGTGGGTATGAAACCAGCAACTTCACATGTCTGGAGTTGTTAGACCGAGTGTTAGTCGCTTCACCCCTGTAGCGCCGTAGCTGACGTTGCGTTAGTGTTACTGACTCGGGTGAATACAGAAAAACCTATAACACATCGATGCATGCCCGACCGGACGCTGGGGTGGCGCATAACGCTTGCCAGCCCCGGTCTCGGCCACTGGACGATAGCATCGAGCATCTAAAGAAGAGTCCAGGGGTTGTTGTCTATCGCCTTCGCACCTCCCCAGACGGCCTCACTGGTATTTCGGTCCCGGGGAAGGGGCCGCCGCTAACCCACGGTGGTGAAAGTCACGCCCGTTGCATCTGCGTCAGCCCGCTGCGCGGTGTGCCTTCGACACGCTGCCTCTTCGGTTTTCCTTGATGATCAAGAACATGAACAAAGACTAATACACAGTGACCTCTTGGTTCGAAAGATGGTGCGATTTCCGTCAGGTGTAAACATTTCGATGTCCATCTGCTGCCTACCGCTTATTTTGTGTTTAAACGGTCCTTCGATGTTTGCGTCAATACTATTAACAGCGCAGCACTCATTTTCTCTTTAAATTTACTCACATTAAAAAAAATCACACTTGCTGTCACTTCTATCCGTTCGTTTTTACGGACACAACAATTTTTTTAAATGGGGGCCATTAAAATGATAGAATCCTCATTTTTTCCAACACCTTCTACTAAATTTGTAAAAACACAAGACCACAAATATCTATTGTAGCTATAAATTTGAAGTATTACCGACCCTTTCAAAGTGTCAGAAGTCCACGCAGTTGGAAGCGAGCTGAACACAGGTATTGCGGTAACTTTCACACTAACCAAGAATTCGGAAGTTCGCTTCATACACGTGCATCTCTCCTCACAGATAAAATTCAGCCGGGACCAATGTCATATAGCGCTGTTGAGTACCATCTGCTAATCCCTGAAAATGTATGCTTAGCAAAAACTGATTACCAACCCAAACTGTTACACTATCTATATCTGTTGTGACTGGGTTCCGCAAATATTTGCTCAGCCCTCCCCCCCAAAAAAAAATCACTAAGCAATTTTTTTTGGCCAATAGATTTGTAAGCTTCGGCCCAGGTTTAGAGTTCTGTAGGGCTCCTCACACCAGTAACAGTGGAAGAAATAGTTATGGCTAAAGCGGTGTTAATACGATGATACGTGTCCATCTTATTTCCACTGAGAGTGAAACTGGGGACAAGACTCGACTCAAGTGAAAGTCAGTCCAAAGTGTGAATGAAATGGAAAAGAGTCTATTCCTGGAGAACCTTGTGTGAAATGTCGACTTGCTCATCTTGACCGAGTCAGTAAATCTCACTCGAATTCTTCCTCTCCCAATTTGAATCAGAGGAAGTGAATATCCACTCTTTGAACCATGGAGATATCTTGACAACCCGTACTGGATCCTGCCGGGGGTCTGCTGATCGTCGGAAGGTTAGGATTGGTGTGTTTCATGTCTGAACGTACTTGTAAATGCTGCTCACGAAAAGGACAACCGTGTCTTGATCACATCGGTAATCTGACTTCATGTTTGACTACTGTCGAGGGTTTTACATGGCGCGCTTACCAGATAAACCCACTCGTCGCTTCGCCTCCAAGGTTTCCCCTCTCATAGTCGATTCATGAACGACTGGCCGTCTTCATTAAGCACCCCGAACATGAAACAACTCCCAGTTGCCATAATGTGGAGAGAGGAGAGAGGAATCCCAAACCACCTGCATGCATGCAAAGAGCCATCGCAACAGAATAACTCAGAACCCTATAATCACCGAGCGCCGAGATCACGGCGATACCGAGAACTAAATTGCAGTCGATGGCCGTCATGCAAATGGCGGGAACCGGGGAGAGCTATTCTAATGTCGTGCATTGCGATCGGGGAAGATAAGAGGCCACAGTGTTCCAGTGCAAAGGACGCGAAGGGACAGAGGAAGGAGAAGTGGAGAAATATAAGACAGGTTAGAAAAAAAAAAAAACCAGAGGAGAGCGCGTTAAGGAGGGGGGAGAGTGTGAGAGAGCATCATCGGTGATAAACGAAGAGCTGTAACTGATAAAGTGGCCGATAG